CGAAGCCTGTTAGAGTTAGCGGGCCAAAGTTAGTGTCATCCTGAGGAGAATGAGTAGGCCGAAGCCTGTTAGTGGGCCAAAACTAGTGTCGTCCTGAGGAGAGTGAGTAGGCCAAAGCCTGTTAGAGTGACTGGGCCAAAACTAGTGTTTTCCTGAGGAGAGTGAGTAGGCCGAAGCCTGTTAGAGTGACTGGGCTAAAGCTGATGTTGTCCTGAGGAGAGTGAGTAGGCCGAAGCCTGTTAGAGTGACTGGGCTAAACCTGATGTCGTCCTGAGGAGCGTGAGTAGGCCGAAGCCTGTTAGAGTTAGTGGGCCAAAGCTAGTGTCGTCCTGAAGAGAGTGAGTAGGCTGAAGCCTGTTATGAGTCAGTGGGCAAAAGCTAGTGTCGTCCTGAGAAGAGTGAGTAGGCCAAAGCCTGTTAGAGTGACTGGACTAAAGCTGATGCCGTCCTGGGGAGAGTTAGTGGGCCAAAAACCTCAGTACCTCTGAGGATGCTTGCCATAGTTGCAGGCGAAACGTCAGGAGTAAATGCTTCTAGAACATGGCCATATAGCCCAAAAAATCTACAACAACCCATTGATTCCGGCCATGAAAGCCTTTGACAATACAAAGTATATTATTATTATTATTATTACTATTATTATTATCCTCATGCAATGTGTATAATTTCTTGTTTAGACTTGGATCCCACTTCCAAGACATCCCATTATGTATACAAATACAAGCATTCCAGAGTCTGAAAGAAAACCTAAATCCCAAACACTCCTGATGCCAACTCTTTCGGATGAAGGATACTCAACCTATACATTTGGAAGAGAATTTGATCCCCACAATTTAAATACATCTGTCTGAGTAACCAGTTACCTCCAGGTTTCTTTTGCCACATCTCTGTGAAATGGTTTTCCGCCTGAACTTCCATTCTGCTTTGATCCCCAGCAGTGTCGTCCACCTCCTCATCCCCATCTCCTTGGGATACTATCATCTCAATGGATGCTTCATTGCTTTCACTTGCCCAGGTATCACCTGCTGGAAATGGGCCCGAGAAAAATGTCAGGGGAAAGAAACCCTTCCAACAATGTTCCCTGACCCTCCCATGGACAACATTGTTTCTCAGAGTGACAGATATTTCTCCACTGGATATTTGCTCTTCCTTGTTTGCCAATGCGACTACAGTTTTAGTCACCTCTCTTCTCTGAAATATTCTCACATCATTTTTAATTAAAGAGGTCTGGGACACTTATTATGGCCTGATTTGGCCTATCGTTGTGTCTTAATACACTGAAAATAATACACCCTACATGAAAAATACATCCAGTATGGTGTAGTAATTTGAACAGTGTACTATGACTCTGTAGACCAAGGTCTGGCTAACAATTCCAATTCCAATTATTTATTTGCGACACTTATATGCCACCCTTCTCACCCTGAAGGAACATCTCAAGAACAGACAAGAATCCCGAGCTCTGAAGATCACCTGGGAAGGAATCACACTGGAGCATTGCAGCACACCCAAATACCTGGGAGTCACTCTGGACCGTGCTCTGACCTACAAGAAGCACTGCCTGAACATCAAGCAAAAAGTGGGTGCTAGAAACAATATCATACGAAAGCTGACTGGCACAACCTGGGGATCACAACCACACAGTGAAGACATCTGCCCTTGCGCTATGCTACTCTGCTGCTGAGTATGCATGCCCAGTGTGGAACACATCTCACCACACTAAAACAGTGGATGTGGCTCTTAATGAGACATGCCGCATTATCACGGGGTGTCTGCGCCCTACACCACTGGAGAAATTACCCTGCTTAGCTGGTATTGCACCACCTGACATCCGCCGGGAAGTAGCAGCCAATAGTGAAAGGACCAAGGCAGAGACATCTCCAGCTCATCCCCTGTTTGGGTATCAGCCAGCACGTCAATGACTTAAATCAAGAAATAGTTTTCTAAGATCTACAGAGACACTCGCTGGAACACCTCAGCAAGCGAGAGTCCAAAAGTGGCAGGCTCAAACCCAGAACCTCAATCAATGGCTGATACCAAATGAGAAACTCCCCCCTGGGCACACAGAAGACTGGGCGACTTGGAAGGCACTGAACAGACTGCGCTCTGGCACCACGAGATGCAGAGCCAATCTTAAGAAATGGGGCCACAAAGTGGAATCCACGACATGCGAGTGGAGAAGAGCAAACCACAGACCACCTGCTGCAATGCAACCTGAGCCCTGCTACATGCACAATGGAGGACCTTCTTGCAGCAACACCAGAAGCACTCCAAGTGGCCAGATACTGGTCAAAGGACATTTAATCAACTACCAAACTCACAGTTCTGTATTTTGTCTGTTTTTGTTGTTTTTTTTTGCTTTGTTCTGTCAGAAATGTAATATAATCGACTGGTTGCACTGACACGATAAATAAATACCCCAAAGGAGAATCAGAGCAGCTTACAAGATATACATACCTACAATATATTATATTATTAGCATAGTACAATATCACTATTATATATTCCTATATTGTACTATAAAAGGTATAGGTTGTCCCCTGACATTAAGTCCAGTCATGTCTGACTCTGGGGTGTGGTGCTCATCTCCATTTCTAAGCCGAAGAGCCGGCATTGTCCATAGACACCTCCAAGGTCATGTGGCTGGCGTGACTGCATGGAGCGCCGTTACCTTCCCGCTGGAGCAGTACCTATTGATCTACTCACATTTGCATGTTTTTGAACTGCTAAGTTGGCAGAAGCTAGGACTGACAGCGGAAGCTCACGCCGCTCCCCGGAACCACTGCGCCACTAGGGCTCCAATATTGTACTATACCATTATATTATAATATTATTAGTAATATTACATGTAATAAATAATATATAATTATAATATTGTATTATTATTATTAGTAGTATCATTAGTATTATAATTATAATTATCAAATTATATAATGTATATCCATATAATTAATAAATAAATATCAAATGAAAGTTCCATAGCATAGTAACAGGACGGTTGAAACAGAATCACAGTGCTTAAATTGAGCAGTGTGAACTATAATTAATTAAATGTTTTCCATTTCTCTCAAAGAGAGGTTTGCTGTTGAGTGCCTTTCAAGTCATTCCTGTCTTATGGCAGCCTTGAAACGAAGCTATCATGTGTGACGTGCCTTTGCCTTCCTCTAAATGTGAGAGAATGTGACTTGCTCAGTGGGTTTCTGCAACAAAGGCTCCTTCTACATTGCCACATAATACAGATGATCAAAGCAGATAATCCACATGATCCGAATTAAACTGGATTATATGAGTCTACACTACCAGATAATCCAGTTCAAAGCAGATAATTTGGATTTTATATGGCAGTGAAGAGCTGAACCCTGGTCTCCAGACTTCTGGTCTAGTAGCCAAACCATTACACCATGTGGGCCATAGAGGAGAGGAAAGGAGCCATAGTGATATATCAGGAGGCAAAATATGCATACAGTCATACTTCGGGCTATTAAGATGAAATAGCATCATCCTAATTTAGACCAAGCAGTCTCATATTCTCTGTCACTGGTTACTATAATTACTGAGAAACTTGTCCTCATGATGTCACTTAGAATCATAGAATCAAAAAGTTGAAAGAGACCTCATGGGCCATCCAGTCCAACCCCCTGCCAAGAAGCAGGAATGTTGCATTCAAATCACCCCTGACAGATGGCCATCCAGCCTCTGCTTAAAAGCTTCCAAAGAAGGAGCCTCCACCACACTCCGGGGAAGAGAGTTCCACTGCTGAACAGCTCTCACAGTCAGGAAGTTCTTCCTCGTGTTCAGATGGAATCTCCTGTCTTGTAGTTTGAAGCCATTGTTCCGCGTCCTAGTCTCCAGGGAAGCAGAAAACAAGCTTGCTCCCTCCTCCCTGTGGCTTCCTCTCACATAGTGTTGTCAGTCAGCCCCAGACAAGAAGGAAAGCCATCACCAGGAAATATATTACGCCCACCTCTTCTTAGGAATGTTACAATTCTCCAAGAAAGACAAATGCTCCTAAACAAGAAAGCAATGTGTTACCTGAGGCTCTGACAACTGCTCCAGAGCTTGGGTTAAAAATATCTTCTTTTTCTTCCAACCAAGAAATAAGATCTGGTTTAGGAACCGGAGACCCTTCTGCGAAAAGAAACAAAATAGGTAATAATAATAATTGTATGACTGTGGTCTGGTTAAGGGCCTGTTAAGGCTTGCCAAGGCTCAAGACAGCATCCTAAGAAATTTGGAACCTGCGAAAATGTCATTATGGGGGAGTTGAAGATTGGACATGAAAGGTGCTGATGAAGAAAAACTGCTGAGTTGCTGGCATAGCTGATCTGAGAACTTATGGGGTAAACAGGACATGTTTACATGGTCAGACACAATAATTCTTTAAGTTAAGGAAGTAAGAACGGGTTTAGCACAGCTGGTAAAATCACTAGCAATGATAACATCTACCAACCGAAAGGTTGCTAATTCGAACCTCCTGATCAGCATGAGCTGCCTACTATCAAGCCCAGCTTACTGTTGACCTAAGAAGTTTGAAAGCAGTTTGTGCTGTAATTAGAGAAATTAGGTACCACTAAAACAAACAAGGGGAACCCTAAAAAGAAAAAGACCGGAAAATGCCGGTGACCGAAAAGGAAGGAGGAAGTCCTGATGGCTCTTCAGCATAGAAGATGGAAAACAAATTCCTGCCAACTCACATTCACAAGCCATCTGCCTACCATCCCAGTGTATGGGATCCTTACCCAGAGAGGCCACATTCCCATAGTTTTCCACCATGACTTCCCGGTAGAGCGCTCTCTGCCCCGGGCCCAACAGGCTCCACTCTCCCTCTGAGAAATGCACAGCCACCTCCTCAAAGGTCACCGGCCCCTAAAGGAAAGAAAAAGGAGAGAGAAAAAAACGTTGCTTCCCACAATGAGCTCAGCATTCTCTATTGGGTGATGGCTGAATGCTAGTATGTTTTATTTTGGTACTGTATAATGGGTGCTTCAATTGGGAGGCCCTTTAGGGAGCTAGAGCAGAATAGAAATAAAGTTTGTATTATTTATTATTATAGCATGGAGTAACAGAGAATCGCATGAAAGAATAATAATAACACTATGAAACACTATGATTTTTGTTCCTGGGTTATAAATGTCATTTCCAAATTAGTTCTATCATAAAAACATGGAAAACATTTATTAAAATGCAAAAAAAAAATATTTTGGAGGGCATCCTGCAGCACATTTTTGCACTAGTTTTTCAATGAATATCTCGTAGAGTCTTGACCAATTTAACCTAGTTTGTGGCAGCCACAAAAACGAAGTAGAACAACTGCTTTCTAAGTAAGTGCTGCACAATTAAACAGGAAATAATATTTTCAAACAAACCAGGAACAGAAATTGTTTTAAAATTTTGTTACACTGTGTCATAGTAAGTCATCTATATAAATAAAAACGTAATGTTCATTTGTGGGATTAACATAACTCAAAAACCACTGGACGAATTGACACGAAATTTGGACACAATGCATCCATCAGGCCAACAAGTGACCATCACTCATAACCCCCCAACCCAAAAGTGGAAAGGACTTAAAAAACCCCAAAAGCTAAATGATGAAAAGCTAAATGATAATACAGGAAAAAAGGGAAGGAAGAGGGAGGAAAGGAGAGAGGAGAGAAAGAAAGAAGGAGGAAGAGAGAAAAGAAAGAAGGAAAGAGAGAAGAAAGAGAAGGAAGGAAAGAAGAGGTAGAGAAGAAGAAAGGAGAAAAAGAGGAGAAAGAAAAAGGGGAAGGAAGAAAGGGTAGAGAAGGAAGGAAGAAGAGAAAGGAAAGAAAAAGAGAAAAGGAACAAAAGTGGGAGGGAAGGAAGAAAAAAAGAAGAAAGGAAAGAAAAACAAGGAAAGGAAAGAAAAGAAGGAAGAAAGGGAAGAAGGAAGAAGGAGGAAAGAAGGAAGAAGAAAGGAAGCAAAGAGGAAGGAAGGAAAGAAGAGTAGAGAAGGAAGAAAGGAGAGAAAGAGAAAAGAAAAGGGGAGGAAGGAAAGAGGTAGAGAAGGAAGGAAGGAAGGAAGGAAGGAAGGAAGGAAGGAAGGAAGGAAGGAAGGAAGGAAGGAAGGAAGGGATGAGGGAGAGAAAGAGGGAGAGAAAGAGGGAGGGAAGGTTGGCCACAGCAACATGTGGCGGGTACAGCTAGTCTATATAAATACAAACGTAATGTTCGTTTGTGGGTTAACATAACTCAAAAAGCACTGGGAGAATTGACACCAAATTTGGCCACAAGACACCTATCAGGCCAATGAGTGACCATTACTCATAAAAACTCTGAAAAACACAGCAGAAGAGACCTAAAAAGCCAAAAAACATAAAAGTATTACAATGCATGCACAAAACCACGTATATATACGCACACATATACACAAATACCCACACATATATATATACACACAAAACACATATACACAGATTGGGCCACAGCAACGTGTGGCAGGGGATGGCTAGTAATGATATAGATGATGATCTGTCCCTCACCTGGTCTGACTCCATAGCGCTCCATAGGCCTTCCATTCTGTCAAACAATGGCACTTCTTTCGAATGCGCTTCCGCTGCCATTCCTTCACCTACAAAGAAGACCGAATCAGAAATAGAAAAGAAAGGAAGACTGTTGTGCTTCAGATATGTCCCATATTTCACTTCCTTAAATGAGAATCCATGGCTCTTGTACTATGAACTAGACAACTAGTACAGTACAACTCCACAACAATGGAGCACATATCCACAGTTTCATTGACCATGCCAAGTGAAAAAAAATGCTCTCTCTAGGAATTTGCTAGATCCTCCAGGTCACCTTCCTCCTGAAATTTACCATATAGCTCCGGTTTCCAGAATGGAGGACATGTCCCATAGGAGACAATTTGATTTTTTTATGGGGGCGAATCAAGAATGAGTTATGAACCATGATTTCTTTGCATTTGTTATGGTTCTAGAAGCCTCATCTACCATATATTAGCATGTACTGTGGCATACACCTTTTAAAAATTATTTATTTATTTATTTATTTATTTATTTAAAACTTTTATATCCTGATCTTCTCAACTTCTGTAGAGGGACTCAGACCAGCGGTAAGAACAGCGGTCAGCTAGTGACAATGAAGAGGGGAAAGAAAGCCCCCACATAGAGAAGAGTTAAGGAATGTGGTGGAGGCTCCTTCTTTGGAGGCTTTAAACAGAGGCTGGATGGCCATCAGTCGGGGATGCTTTGAAGGCGATTTTCCTGTTTCTTGACAGAATGAGGTTGGACTGGATGGCCCACAAGGTCTCTTCCAACACTAGGATTCTATGATTTTAATGAGAGAGGGCATGTATCCAGAAAATGGAGGCCACTTTCATCCCAAACCTTTCTCAATGTTGCTTTAATATTACAAGCTATAAAGGTAAAGTAAAGGTTTTCCCCTGACATCAAGTCTATTCGTGTCCAACTCTGGGGGGTGATGCTCATCTCCATTTGTAAGCTGAAGAGCTTACAAATGGAGACACCTCCAAGGTCATGTGGCTGACATGACTACATGGAATAGTTACCTCCCCGCAAGGTACCTATTGATCTACTCACATCTGCTAGGTTGGCAAAAGCTGGGGCTAACAGTGGGAGCTCACCTCGCTCCCTGGATTTGAACCACCAACCTTTCGGTCAGCAATTTCAGCAGCTTAGTGGTTTAACCCACTGCACCACCGGGGGACCCAGGGGGAAAGTACAGTAGCAATTTCTTTATTCATGATTTTTCACTTTGATGGGGGCTCTACAGTAAATGTCAATTTTTTTTAAAAAAATACCCTAAATTTCTGTCCAGAAGCAAAATTGAACGAAAGGATTTATAATAATAATAATAATAATAATAATAATAATAATAATAATAGCAATAATAATGCTTTATTTATACCCCGCTAACATCTCCTGAAGGACTCGGTGTGGCTTACAAGAGGCCAAGGCCCAACACATCAATAAAACAACAGCATAACAAATACAACAATAAATAAACTCATAAAACAAAGCAATAAACATTAAAACAATAGCAATAAACATTAGACAATAACACCACGACACATTTAAAACTAAGGCCGGGCCAAATGTAATGATTAAAAATTTAAATGCTGGGCATGACAGGTGAAATGGATAGGTTTTTGGAGATAGGTGCGGTGTGCAGACAATCTTAAATCTCTAGTAAAGTGCATTTGGGACATGATGCTTGGAGTTTCCTATTCTGGGAAGGCACACTGGAACAACCACATCTTCAAGCTCTTCCTAAAGACTGCCAATGTTGGGGCTTGTCTGATGTCCTTGGGGAGAGAGTTCCAGAGTCAGGAAGCCACCACGGAAAAGGCCCTGTCCCTCGATTTGAGGATGTCAAACATAAGAAACTCTTACCAAAAGAAGATGCAATGCTGTCATTCTTCGAAACTTGTTCAAACAGCGGTAGCTTCCAATTGTCCAAAAGTGTGATGTCTTCGCTGGACAAATCTGCAACCACGTCTGTCAATGACTCTGATGCCTGGGAAAAAAAGTAAGGAAACCAGGTTCAGCATCAGAGATAAGGAGACCCTCTTTTCCCCAGTTTTCTGTCGAAAGCTTCCTTCAGATTCACATGCCAATAAATAGAAAAGATATGGAGAGGCATCAAATGGCAGAATTTCTTACAACAAAGTCTATTCGGGCAGCCATGGTCTAGAGCACGTATGGTCAAACTAAAATTAACAAGGTATTTAATTAAATTTAATTAAATTTAAATTGGAGTCAAGCACTGAAAGGGTTAGATGGATGCAATGACTCAGCAAAAGCTATAGTTGTATATTAGCAGGTGTGCCTGTAGGCCTTTGTGTTAGTTTGCCTCAGTTGAAAAAAGGTTTCCCTCTGTGAGATGGCCTCACAGTGTGAGATAGGCCTTAGTCGGTGAGAGAAGCCTCTGTGTGAGGTAGGCTCACAGTGTAAGGTACGTTTTTTAGTCTGTGAGAAGGCCTCAGAGTGTGAGAAGGCCTGCTGTGAGAAGCTTCTGTGAGAGAAGCCTCAGGTTAAAGGTCTCGCGTGTAAAGGTAATGTGTGAAGCTCCAGTATAAAGGGTGCTGTGTGTAAAAAGCTACAGTCTGAAGCTCCAACGTAAGTTTGGTGTGAGAGGAGGCTCTGTGAGAGTGAAGCTGTTTATCTGCATAAGAAAGAAGCCCAGCATGGAAGCAAAGAAGGAAGTATAAAGAACTTTCTTTGTGTTATGGAAACCTTGTTATTGTAAATAGTGCAACTATATTATTTTACTACAAAGTAAAAGATAATATTGGTCTGTGGTTTTTTGGGTTTTTTTCACTTTAGGATACTGGTGCTGGGTCATGCTGCTGCTAATAAGTTACTGTATATACTCGAGTATAAGCCTAGTTTTTCAGACCTTTGTTTGGGCTGAAAAAGTTCCTCTCGGCTTATACTTGAGTCAAGGTTATTTATTATTTTACTCTATTATAAATACATAATAAATGTATTATTATTGTTATTATTATTACATCTATTATTTTACTTTATTATTGTTGTTATTATTACATTTATTATTTTACTCTATTTATTATTGTTGTTATTACATTTATTATTTTACTCTATTTATTTTTAATGGAAGGGTACGCAAGCACATTTACCTTGAAGGAAGTCAGAACGGTTTAATCAGAGTTGAGCAGTCTTATCTTAAATTACAGTTTTATGTAAATATTCAAAAACATTTAACATCCTGATGCCTCAATTAATGTAATTTTATTGGTATCTATTTAATTTTGAAATTTACCGGTATCTGTTGCATTTCCCACCCTCGGCTTATACTCGAGTCAATCTGTTTTCCCAGTTTTTTGTGGTAAAATTAAGTGCCTCGGCTTATATTCGGGTCGGCTTATACTCAAGTATATACGGTACTCTGCTGTACATTTATGGGTAGGGTCTTTTGTTAATAAGCCCATTCGCCCAACATGCATAACCCCAGGAGTGTATTATGCATGGAAGAAATTTGAGTAGATGGCCTTTGAGGTCCAACCCTTATCTGTAGACATGACCACAGGTTGAGAACTGCTATTTGACAGAACTGGTTACATATCTAATTGATTTGTATACCTCTTTGGAAATACCCAAATGTGAGCTGCCTACCTCATCTTCTTCGGGCTTCTTCAGGAGCAAACCTTCCTCCAGCCTCACTATTGACATATCAGCCTCCAAACTGCTTTCCCTCGCCACATTTTGCATTTCCTTGGCCAGGAATGGCTCCTTAAACCAATACGGGTGTAGCATTTGATCCTGTGACCCATCGAATTGGACTATATCCTCCGGCAGAACGATGTCTTCTTTTCTTTCCCAGTATAGTCTTCTCCTTCCATCTTGGATGACAGAAGACCTCTTTCTGTCCACTTCAGAGCTGGCCATGCCTTGCTCTTCATGGTTCGATTGCAGTCCCACAGCCAACGGATCGCCTTGCTCTGCCCGCATGCTTGGGTTTTTCTCTCTCCAGGTGCCCCAAAGGCCACTAAAAATTGGAGAGGTGGGAAACACACAATGCCTTTGTTCCAGAAAGTCAACAAATGGCAGCTCTACAATATTGTTAAATGACAGAAGTCACTGGAAGGGGAAAAGTGATGGTTCCAGCTGGACAGAGGAGATTCTACTCGCAGGTACGGAAAACAAACAACCTGGATAGGAATAAAAATAGAGAGCTTGTTATAAAGTCATACAGCCATGGATTCTGCACCCGTGGATTCAATCATCACAGCTTGAAAATACCGCCCCCCCCGATCTATACACATTGTAAAAGTGAAAATATGTGTGTGGCTGGGGTGTCCACTTACAAAGACATGCTTCCACATCCACAAATAGCTATAGCTCCCAATGTTCAGGAGACACCAATGACCTTCCCTCCAATGACACTGCAGGTTATAGTGAGAGCCATGAATATGCCCAAGAGCCCTGCCAATGTCCTCCACAAACACCCTACTGTCCACCACCCAAGTGAAGGCTTTCATAGGAGGACAATTCCATCCTAGATTTTATGTGTTCCTTCCACCACAGGCACCCCAGTGTTTCTGACTCTCTCCATTGGTGTGGAATTTGCAAGGCCCTATCCACTGCCTTTCCCTTAACCCTTTCCTATTCTTTTCCAAGGCACACAGCAAACAGAGGAATTGATCAGCAACTGAACATACTAGAGAGGTTTGGCGAGAATTCATCATGATTTATAGGAGTTGTAGGCACTGGGATGTATAGTTCACCTGCAATCTAAGAGCACTCTGAATTCCACCAACGATGGACCTGGAACTAACCTGGCACACAGAACCCCATAAACAACAAAAAATACTAGAGGGATATATTTATTTATTTATTTATTTAGAGGTTTTCTATACCGGCCTTCTCAACCTCGACGAGGGACTCAGGTCGGTTTACAGCATATATAAAATACAATCATATAAAAGAGCAACAAGTACAAATCATTACATATCAAAATAACACAACACAGTACAATAAAACATCATCATTACATCATTACATATATATATATACACACACACACGCACGCACGCATACATAGAGGTAAAGGCTTTTCCCTGACATGAAGTCTGGTTGTACCCAACTCGGGGGGGGGGGGGGCTCATCTCCATTTCTAAGCCAAAGAGCCAGCATTGTCCATAGACATCTCCAAGGTCATGTACCTGGCATGACAGCATGAAGCACTGTTACCTTCCCACCAGAGCGGTACCTATTGATCTACTCACACCGACCTTTCAGTCAACAAGTTTAGCAGCTCAGCGGTTTCACCCACTGCGCCACTGGGGGCTCCCATATATGTGATGTTCGTTTGTGGGATTAACATAACGCAAATACAACTGAGCGAATTGTCACCAAATTTGGACACAATACACATATCAGTCCAACGAGTGACCATCACTCATAAAAGCACTGAAAAACACAGCGCAAGAGACTTAAAAAGCCAAAAAATAAAAAAAATACATTACAATTCATGCACAAAACCATATATAATCAAATATATACACACATATACACACACAAAGCACATATACACAGACTGGGTCACAGCAATGCGTGGCAGGGGACAGCTAGTGTGTGTGTGTGTTTATATATATATTTTAACCCATTAAGAGAGCTAAGATCTTCGGGAGAGGCCCTTCTCTCTGTCCTACTTTCTTATCAACTGAGTTTGGAGGGAACAAGAAAATGGAGCTTTCAGTGGCTGCTCCCAGACTTTGCAAATCCCTCCCTAGAATCACAGAGATGAAAGAAATGCTCAAAGGCCATTTAGTCTAAGAACCTTCTACCACACAGGAATTCAAGCACTCCTGAAAGATAACCATCTGATCTCTGTTTAGGAAGGAAGAGACTCCACAACACTCCCAGGAAGCAGCGAATTCCACTGCTGAATTGTCTTCTCACCCAAATACTAGCCAGGGCTCATTTTGCTTAGCTTCCAGGATTAGGATCTTGTGCAGGCATGGGCAAACTTTGGCTCTCCAGGTGTTTTAGAAGTCCAAAACACCTGGAGGGCCAAGTTTGCACATGCCTGATCTAGTGCTTTTACTGTATACAGACCAGCAATGGGTGCTATTAATACACATAAATACACAACATAGCCTCTGTATATGCAGGACCTGTTTCCATGTCTTCATTTATCCACGTAGTGGCTAATAATGCGTGCAGATCCCAGTAGGGTGGCCTTTTGCAGCTGGCAGATGGCAATTTTGTCAGCGCCAATTGTGTTTAAGTGCAGGCCAAGGTCTTTAGGCACTGCACCCAGTGTGCCGATCACTACTGGCTTGTGCCAAAGTCTTTGCAGTTCAATCTTTAAATTCTCATATCATGTCAGCTATAATAATAATAATAATAATAATAATAATAATAATAATAATAATTATTATTATTATTATTTGAAACTCAACAAGATGAGTCCACAGCAGACAAGATCAGTCTGCTGGCTGTTGTATTGGATCACACATCGGACGCATCCCAAGTGTCTAGGACTGTGTGATGTATTATTATTATTAACACACATAAGCACACAACATAGCCTCTGTATATGCAGGACTCATATCCATGTGTTCATTTATCCACGTATCGGCGAATAATGTGTACAGATCCCATTATTATTATTATTATTATTATTATTATTATTATTATTATTAGAAACACAACAAGATGAATTCACAGCAGACAAGATGACTCTGCTACCTGTTGTATTGGATCACACGTCAGACACTTCCCAAATGTCTAGGACTGTGTGATGTATTGGCGAATAACGCGTGCAGATCCCAGTAAGGTGGCCTTCTGCAGCTGGCAGATGGTAATTTTGTCAGCGCCGATTGTGCTTAAGTGCAGGCCAAGGTCTTTAGGCACTGCACCCAGTGTGCCAATCACCACTGGGACCACCTTGACTGGCTTGTGCCAGAGTCTTTGCAGTTCGATCTTTAAATCCTCATATTGTGTTAGTTATATTATTATTATTATTATTATTATTATTATTATTATTATTATTACAAACATAACAAGATGAGTCCACAGCAGACAACATCACTCAGCTGGCTGTTGTATTGGATCACACGTCGGACACTTACAAAGCATCTAGGAATATGTGATGTATCGGAGAATGATGTATGCAGATCCCAGTAAGGTGGCCTTTTGCAGCTGGCAAATGTTAATTTTGTCAGCGCCAATTGTGTTTAAGTGCAGACCAAGGTCTTTAGGCACTGCACCCAGTGTGACGATCACCACTGGAACACCTTGACTGGCTTGTGCCAGAGTCTATGATGATGATGATGATTATTATTATTGTTGTTGTAGTAGTAAAGATAATTTCTGGAAACTTCTCATCCGTGCAAACCACCCCCTCCACAACTGTCTGCAGTCTTTAATGCCTGGCTACATGGCAGGATTGTTATTATGATTATTATGATTATTATTAAGAGCCCCTGGTGGCACAGTGGGTTAAACCCCTGTGCCGGCAGGACTGAAGACCGACAGGTCGCAGGTTCGAATCCGGGGAGAGGCAGATGAGCTCCTTCTATTAGCTCCAGCTCCTCATGCAGGAACATGAGAGAAGCCTCCCACAAGGATGAGAAAAACATCAAATCATCCAGCCGTTCCCTGGGCAATGTCCTTGCAGAGGGCCAATTCTCTCACACCAGAAGCGACTTGCTCCTGACACGACAAAAAGATTATTATTGTTATTTATTTGTGGTGCGACCCAGTGATTCCGGATATGAAAGCCTTTGACAACACAGGTCAAAAATGCCATTAATTTCATAAGGTTTGGGGTTTGCTGGGTTTTTTTTGTTTGTTTGTTTGTTTTGTTTTTGGCAAGGATGACGAAAAAGGTGGCTTGGCTATTTCCTTCCTCCCACATACATCCTGCAGCACCTGGTGCTTGTTGGCGGTCTCCCATCCAAATACTAACCATACCTGACCCTGCTTAGCAACCCAACTGCTATGTATATGTGGGTCTAATGGAAATTTTCATAAGGATTTTCTTAATCCATGACTACTCAAAGGGTGGTGTGCCTGTTCCTGCACTCTTCCAAATCTATAGTAAGTCATTCTAATGTAAGCCAAACCTCCCCCCTAATTTGGCTTCATATCCCAACATTAGGAAGAGGCCAAGGTTGGCTGATGCTGGCTGTTTAATTAAGCACAAATGGGGCAGATTACAAACACCCCCCTCCAATCCAATTTCCCCTCTTTAGTTGGAAAGCAACTCCTCCTCTTTTGCAGCTTGGTTTCTCCCACTGCTTCCTGCAAACTCACCTGGTCTCTCCCGCCATTGACTCCAAGCTGGAAGCTTCTCCCCCAGAAAGGTGGGAAGGGGGGTGGGGAATAGTATGCTAAGCAGGAAGTGACCTCAAACAGCTTCCAGACCCACTTCCTCAGAGGCTCCCTAGGAATGCAGACTCTCTCAGCTTAACCCTTTTCAGAACAGGCTCAGTCTCAAGGCAGGCATTCAGGGCAGAAAGATCCCAAGCAGCCCTGGCTCTTGTTGTGGTTCTCCCTCCAGAAACCTCATTTCTGTGGTTGCCACAAACTAGGTTGAGGCAGCCACAGATCCATTGAGAGATCCATTGAAAAACTAGAGCAAAATGTGCTGCAGGATGTCCCAGAAAAACCAAGTTTTTTGCAGTTTATTTTTTCCATTTATTATTATAACAACAACAACAACAACAACAACAACAACAACTGGTGGGATCACAAGCTGGAAAAAGTTAGAGAATGAACACGCCAAACTCCTCTGGGACTTACGGATTCAGACAGACTTTTGGAACACAAGACTCCTGACCTCACGATCGTGTTAAAAAACAAAGTATGGCTCGTCAACGTCGCAATCCCAGGTGACAGCAGGATTGAAGAGAAACAACTGGAAAAGCTGACACGATATGAGGATTTAAAGATCGAACTGCAAAGACTCTGGCACAAGCCAGTCAAGGTGGTCCCAGTGGTGATCGGCACACTGGGTGCAGTGCCTAAAGACCTTGGCCTGCACTTAAACATAATCGGTGCTGACAAAATTACCATCTGCCAGCTGCAGAAGGCCACCTTACTGGGATCTGCACGCATTATTCGCCGATACATCACACAGCCTTAGACATTTGGGAAGTGTCCGACGTGTGATCCAATCCAACAGCCAGCAGAGTGTCTGCTGTGGACTCATCTTGTTGTGTTTCAAATAATAATAATCATGGAAGAGACCTCATGGGTAATCCAGTCCAACCTCCTGTCAAGAAGCAGGAAAATTGCATTCAAAGCATTCCCAACTGATGACCATCCACCACACTCCGGGGCAGAGAGTTCCGCTGCTGAACGGCTCTCCCAGTCAGGAAGTTCTTTCTCATGTTCGGGTGAAATCTCCTTTCTTGTAGTTTGAAGCCATTGTCCCATTGCGTCCTAGTCTCCAGGGAAGCAGAAAACAAGCTTGCTCCCTCCTTCCTATGGCTTCCTCTCATGTATTTATGCATGGCTTTCATGTCTCCTCTCAGCCTTCTCTTCTTCAGGCTAAACATGCCCAGCTCCTTTAGCCGCTCCTCATAGGGCTTGTTCTCCAGACCCTTGATCATTTTAGTCACCCTCCTCTGGACACATTCCAGCTTGTCAATATCTCTCTTGAATTGTAGTGCCCAGAATTGGACACAATATTCCAGGTGTGGTCTAACCAAAGCGGAATAGAGGGGTAGCATGGATTCCGTAGATCTAGACACTATGCTCCTATTGATGCAGGCCAAAATCCCATTGGCTTTTTTTGCCGCCACATCACATTTGGTTATGTGGCCAGTGATTATCCAATAGTCTGGTGCAACAGCACTCTTTGAGAAAGAAGGCAAAAGATCTTCTGAAACTACAACTCCCAGGATTCCATAGCACTGAACCATGGCAGATATGCTGGTGTCAAATACATTAACGAACCATTGAGAACTTTAAGATCATCTGGGGAGGCCCTACTCTCAGTCCCGCCTTCGTCGCAAGTACGATTGGCGGGGACAAGAGACAGGGCCTTCTCAGTGGTGGCCCCTCGGCTATGGAACACCCTGCCTAGGGAGATCAGATCTGCTCACTCACTCTTAACGTTTCATGGGCAAGTAAAAACATGCCTTTCCTTATGTCCTGCAGCTCTTTGTGGCTTTCTGTTTGCTCAAGAGGCAGATATTGCTCCTTCCATGACTTCATCTTCCCCCCAAAAGAGTGGATAATGCAGCCACTAGGCTTCCTGAAAGGGTTAAGATGACTGAGGTTGGCATTCCTAGAAGGGCCCTTCAGGGAAAGAGGAGGACCATGTGTTATGAAAAGTGATTTCCGGTCAGGGTTCCTTCCCACTTCTTTCTTTGCATTTCTCTGCCTTTTCCCTCTTTCTGCAGCATTCCCTTGCAGAGAGAGAGAGAGAGATCTGGTGAGTCAAAGTGCAGGGAAAGGGGCAGAAACACTGGGGAAGCCATGAGGTTGAACTTCCCTTTCCTGAAATGCTGGGAACAAAGGGAGTTGTAGTTGGGAATACTCAACCTTCTCAAGCCTCCTCTGTTTGATGTTTTTTCCCTGGATATAATATGCTGTTTCAGTACTGAAGTGTATATGTGTTCTTTGATATGCAGTTTTTCCTAACTCTATGTTTTTGAGGCTGTGGGCGGGGCTGCAGACCATGTGACCAGATCAGGGACTGTTTGGAACACAGTCAGAAGATGACAGTTGAGGGATGACAGTTGGAAGAAGACAGTCATCAAGGAGAGATTTACAGAGGTCTATAGCGTTGAAGAGACTGAGAAGGACTGAAAGGTAAAGTTTAGGTGTGCCTGTATTTTTAATTGCAAAAAATGGAAGACAAATCTGTTATTTCAAAGAAGTCTACTTGGATTTTGTCTCCTGAGAGCATGAAAATAGGAAAAAAAGTATTTATGAGAGAGCAGATGTGTTTTGAATACTAAACAACACTTCTGAAGATCTGCTAAATGCACACCCACATATATATATACACACACACA